TTACAGAAAATTATCAGAAATTTGGTGGAAAGATGCTCTACTTTTTCTTTAGATTTTTTATATTTTCTCACTTTATTACACGTCATGAAACTTTGTTTGATTTGTTCATTCATATTTTTGGAGATGCATTTCAATACCAATTAGTTATCGAGAGGTTTCACAGACATTTGGAGTTGGGTGGGTTTAATTATAACGTAATGTTGAGGATTTGTATAGTGCGCCAGTTTGGAATTTTTCTTGGTATTTTCCCGTAAAACATGGGTACAAGACAACAAGTGCATTAAACCGTGTTAGAACACGGAATAAGTATAAATCATAGCTATCAGCTTGGATGATCCAATAGCTAAAAAAAAAACCAAAATTCTACATTAATTAAAGGTAATTTGAACATTACCATTACCATCCAACCAACCCACTAACTAGTGGGCCCCATGCCACATCATCTGTAACACCCCACCTTATCTAACTTTTATTCACGAAAAATGATTAAATTTTTTGCGATTGTTTTCAAAATATATTGATACTGTTTTCAAGAATACTGAAACTTAACTTTGCGGGATGTTACTTACTGACTGGACTTCTTACTCTTTCTTTCTTTTACTCATGAATGTATCCAAATCAACATATAAAATCTAGCTCGAGAATATGGATAAGGAATAATTATACATAGAATAATTATACATACATACTTACTGGTTCTGGTTTATCATCACATAAACATAAATAAAATATAGTCGTAAATAGATTAATACAAACCAACACAAACATAATAATTGTCCAGCTTATTCGTATATCACCACACCACTGCTCGGTTCACGCTCCATGCTGAACTCCATCACTTGAAAAACATAATGGGGGCGTGAGCAAAACCACTATGGTCCGTAGAAACCAACACTGGATAAACAACACATATAATCCAATATCATTAACTAAGTATATACATAAATAAAACTGTACTGTAACTAGTGCAACATCCGAAAACTGGCCGAATTATCATGTGAACACATTCTGGGGGTTGCCGCCCACAGAACCCAGTCTTGACTGAGCAATAAACTTATCATAACTGGACCACGAACGGAATAACTTCATCGTTCGGGTAAATATCTACATACATACCTCATACATGGTACAAGATTATAAGCAATGTAATACCCAGTATAGGTCCCCCACCTGATATGTTGAAAAGACTTTGCAAGTGCTGAATAACTTATGTAGCTGTTGGAGGCTCGACTCTCCACAACTACCAACATATAAAAGGAAATATATCTAAGTATCTTTTCTAAAAAATCACATATAACTCTAAACATTAAGAAACTTGGCAGTTAAATAGTAGATAAATTTATATACTCTCTGATCAAATTTTAGCTCAAAAGCACTTCAATAGCTCAATCCACCCAAATATTAAAATTAACATATAATTATGCTAAACTTACGCCTAACTTCAAAGAATTTTATAAATTCACATACTTATCATATCAAGCTGAAACTTAGTCATCTTGACCACTACTCATACAGAAATATTCATAAAAGTTTCACATTAAAAGCTTGATTGTATACCAAGTACTCTCGCATTTAAATTCAGCTTGACATACATGAGATGTAGCATTTATTCACTCATTTCTCAACATAAAATTCTGAAATTTGGCATGCACACTCTCAACATATAGGTAGATATGTCATTAAAATTTCACATTTTTCAAAAACATAAAACTCGAGTTATACTTAACAAAATACCATTATTCTTGCTCCTATGTAATCCTAAATTAAACAAGAAATACCCATTTAAATCATACTTTCCCAGGTGTCGACCTCGAATTAGTCCAATTGAAGTCAAATTAGTACAATCTCGGTCAACTATAGTGTAATCGACCTTGACTTAGGGAGTTGACGCTCGGTATTACCCTGTTGGGGTCCTTTTAGTTTCTTAGTTTCTTAGTGTTTTCGTGTGTTAGTGTTGTTTGTGTTCGTATGTATTAGCCCGTTGGGGTCGTCGGCTCTAGACAGTCATTGACTGTCCTCCCACTCTATTCAGCTGGTGGTTGAACCTTTATACATTTGTGTTATTTATATATAAAATCTCTATCATTTCGAAAAAAAAGGAAGTCAAATTAGTACAATCTCGGTAAATTATAGTGTAATCGACCTCGAATTAGTCCATTTGAAGTCAAATTAGTACAATCTCGGTCAATTATAGTGTAGTCGACCTCGTATTAGTCCAATTGAAGTCGAATTAGTACAATCTCAGTTAATTATAATGTAATCAACCTCGAATTAGTCTATTTGAAGTCAAATTAGTACAATCTCGGTCAATTATAGTGTATTCGACCTCGAATTACCTGAATTGAAGTCAAATTAGTACAATGTTGGTCAATTATAGTGTAATCGACCTCGAATTAGTCCAAATGAAGTAAAAAAAAATAAAATTGAAAAACGCTTTTTTTTTTTTCAGTTTTTCAGTTTTTTTTTATTATTATTAATTAAAAATAATTAAAAAATAAAAACGGATTTTTAAAATCCGTTTTTAAGTTTTTTTTATTATTATTAATTAAAAAATAAATAAAAATAAATAAAAAATAAATAAAAAATAAAAACGGATTTTGAAAATCCGTTTTTTAACAAAAAAAAAAAATAATAATAAATAAATAAAAACGGATTCTCGAAATTCGTGTTTCAAGGAAAAACGGATTTTGAGAATCCGTCTGTTTGATTTTTTCCAAATAACTTTTTTTTGATTTATTTTTGTCCACGCATTATTTTTTTTTTAATTAAATAAATGATTCCAAATAGAAGCCATCGCTATCAAATTGTGTGTGAAAGGGGCACATACTGAGTTGTCTACTTCATCTGATAATGAAAGAATAAGTGAAATGTTGGAGCTATATAAGACGACCTTGACTTAATTTGGAGCAATAATCTTGTATTGGTTCACACTTGTATTGTTTTTTCCACACTTGCAGACAATTATCAGAAATTTGGTGGAAAGACGCTCTACTTTTTCTTAAGATATTATCATTTTTCACTTTATTACACGTTTCATACTCTTGAAACTTTGTTTGATTTATTCATTCATAATTTGGGAGATGCACTTCAATACCAAATCTAGAATACTTTAAGTGAATTTAATACTCGGATTGAAAAATTAGTGATATCTCTGAGTAAATTGATCCTAGGAAAAGCAAAATGAACAGATATATATGTAGGGGCAACATGTCCTTTCTGCCAATAATTTTGTTTTAAGAAAATGACCACATATAGCTATAGACCAACTGACTATTTGTTTTGAAGTTTAGTTATTTAACCAAACCATTTTGTCTATTGAAAACTCAAGGATAAATAATGTGCATCATATAACTCTTTATATATGAGTTACACATTCATCAAAATCAAGTTTACAAAATCAGGAGGCACCGGGATAACAGTGCTACTACCGTGTGCCTAGGTACACCTAGCTAGGTGTACCAGGGCAGTTTAAAATGAACATGTTATGTTACAAAATGAACATGTACAAACATGATTTGCACATGTTCATTTTGTAACATAACATGTTCATTTGTGGCACACCTAAGTATTTGTGCCGGGATAAGCAGTAAAATCAAGGCCGGACATATATACTGGCAAAATTACAAAAAAATACACTAACATGGGCGTTGTCAAGAAAAGAGACTTTTGTTGTTCTGCACAGAAAAGAAACATTTAGTTGACATTTTGGTCAGAAAAGATATAGTAATCACCCCTGGCGGGATTAAGTGATAACGTGGCGGGATTAAGTGATGAGTGACATTTAAACATTTCTTAACTTCCTATGTGTTATATATGTGGCGTGATGTGGCATTATACCTAGATAAAAAAAATAAAAAATAAAAAATAAAAAATCTAAAAAATAAAAAAAATAATATATATTAAATATAAATATATTTCGTTTATATATTAAAAAAAAAATTACAAGATTTGATCGCCATCACTCGACTTCCGACGTAAAAATAAAATTTATTTTTAATTTTTGTAATTTTTTATTTTTTTTAATTATTTGTTTATTTTTTTAATATATATAACCGAAATATATTTATATTTAATATATATTATTTTTTTATTTTTTATTTTTTAGATTTTTTATTTTTTTAATTTTTTTATTTAAGTGTAATGGCACATCACGCCACATATATAGCACATATGAAATTAAGAAATGTTTAAATGTCACTCATCACTTAATCCACCACATCATCACTTTATCCCTCCAGGGGTGATTACTGTATCTTTTCCGACTAAAATGTCAATTAAATGTTTCTTTTCCGTGCGGAACAACAAAATGTCTCTTTTCTTGACAACGCCCAACTTAGTGTATCGTTTTTGTAATTTTGCCGTAACTAATCACTAATCCTTGTGGATGAGATCCCTCATGCGCGGTGTTGCACATTCATGGTTCTGTTGAGGAAGACCGTACCCGTGATGTTCAACTTCATCACGTGATGATCTAATGTGCGGGTAAGTATGAGAGAATAGGTTTTTCCAAGAAATGGTGGGTTCAATTTTATACAATCCGCCGGGTTTGATTGGGTTGACATTTGGGAGGCAAGATCCTCATTCTATGGGATCCCCATATCCCATCTCTTTATATAATTTCAAAATAGGTTGAGCCTACGTGGCAAACTTTCATGCTTCGGAATTCTATTTAGCAAAAATCATGCTTTGAAGTTAGACTTGGATATAAATTAATATTTTTTATCACACTAAATACATGATTGATTTTTTCTTTATTTACTTCTACAATTAGTTACCATAAATTATTTTATATTTCTTTTCCCTACATTACCATACATTACATTTCTGTTTCTTATTTAATTTATTCATTAGTTATTATAAATGTTTCTTCTTATTATTTTAAGGTTTTATAACTTTTTTGTTTGTATTTTATTTTTTATATATGATATATCAAATTAACTATCTTTTTTAACGATTTTTTATTTGACATCCATATTATATATATAAAATACAAAATAGTAATATATATTCTTATAAATAAAATTTAAGTTTATTTATCAAACTAAATTAAAAGATATCAAATAAAACTATGAATTATATTATAAAGTAATAGAAATTGGTATGTATTCTTTTAAAAATGATATTTATTTCAAGTCTAATTGGTATGTTATCAATCTAATAAAAATAAATAATTATTTATCTAAATTCTAAAATGACATATAAAGTTAGAAAACTGTGAAGCACGACGGATACGACATTTGATGTATTAGGAATCTAATTAAGTAAAAAATTAATCTATTTTGCTTAATATTAAACAAACATATTCTGCACTTATGCATGTACATATCACCATATTATTTCTATTTACTTAAGATATATATATTTTTTACTTAATAATAGTAAATAATATCGATAATTTTATATGATATAAGTACAAAAATTCACTATGAGTTGAAATTTTTGTTTAGTATACGGGTGTTTAATTATTATGATTAAAAAAATATAATTTAACAATTTAATTAAATCCAAAGTAATGTTTTATATAAAATTAAATTCTTTTAGTTAAAAAAAATTAATATTTTTTACATATGCTTCCTAATTCAACACCCGTGTATTTACACGGGTATTGTACTAGTGTATATTAACTCAGAACGTGCTGAGCCTAAGTGGCTGACCCGCATGCTTCGGGATCCTATGCGGCAAGATTACATGCTTCGTTATTAGGCTTAGGTACATTTTAATTTACTTCCAATTCAAAAATAATTAGGTCCGGATTATCCATAAATATATTGATTATTTATTTTCATGTTAATATTTTTTTGGAATTTTAAATTATTTCTTTTTATGTTCATATGGTCTATTAGATTTTTTAAATAACTAATTTCAAGCAATCAAACAAAAAAAAGTACATAATATAAAGAATAGTGTTAAATGTATAAAAAGTTAAAATATAATTTTTAAATTATGATAATATATATATATATATATATAAAGGTTTCATTATCTTTTAAATAGTAACTATTTCTCTAAAAAAATCTATTTACTATTTCAGGAAATTAATTTAATAATTTATGGTATATATCAAATGAACATTTCTAGAAATTGCAGCTCATTATTTAAGCAAGTAATTAATCCATATTTTAAGATACCTTAATTACTCAAATCAAATGAATCAATTAATATATTGTATAAAGTGGACGAATTTATTTTTGATATTTTTGGTTGTTTCTATAGGAAATAAATTAATCAATATATGGCATAAAGTAAGCAAATTTATTTACGTTATTTGATTATCTGTTTTTTGATAGAAAATTTGTTGAAAAATTAATCAATATACGGTGTACTTTTTTTAATAATGCGCATGCCAATATATTGATTTTTAGGCGTGTGTTGCAATTTTTATTTCAATTTTTCGTATGAAATTAACATGATAAAATTACCGTAATTCTGACAAAATAATATGAACAGATATTTTGGTATAATGTGCATGTGTCGATGTTTTTTGTAAAAAAAAACTCTGGTCAATTTTTTTTTTTGTATAAGTGGGTCTCGATTTAATTCATTTTTTGTTACGACATTTCAAAAGATCTTTTTGTGAAATACATTGTTCATTTTTTTAGCATGATAACAAGTGTCGATTTTTTTGACATAAAAAATCTTATGACTGATTGTTTATGCTCAACTACATAATTATTTTGATTTGGATATCTTATAAAAAATAAATTCATTTTAATTAACGAAACAACATAAGTTTTATATTTATACTTATATTCACATATGTTCTTAAATATATAATAAAATTTTACCAAAATAATTATTTTATGGAATCACGTTATAGTCAAATCGAATTTCTGAATAAATTTTTTGAAATGACACATAGTTTGAAATGAATATATTATAACTTACTATCAGTTATGTATAACGCACGAGTTGTATACTAATTTTAAATAGACATTTTGTTGTAATTTTGCGCAATTTTATATAACATTTTCAATATATTAATAGAGATACATTGTATTACATATTGATTCAATATTTTTAATTTATAAATATTATTTAATGAGAATTTTTAATTTACAAATATTAATGAACTGCACGGATTCTTACTAGTTTATCAACACATCTAAGGCAATAATGATGATGAAATAAGCATGAGCATATAGTACAATGTTTCCAAGTACGACCGTGAATTGGATATATAGTTAAGGACTTGTTTAAAGTCGCTTACAACTGGAATCGTGTCATAAAATTAGTTGTCGAGAGGTTGAGAGGTTCACAGACGTTTCGAGTTGGGTGGGTTTTATTATAACGTAAGTTGAGTATTTGCATTTACTCGACATTTTCCGGGAAAGTTCATTGAAACTTAAATCGAATGTACTGAGAGAGATCAGATTATCTAAAGGCATTGGAAAACACGAGGTCCTTTCAAGAGTAGATATCCACACTGTGGGATGCTGGAATTTTTATAACTGGAAGTGAGATCAATAACTTAATATTATTCGGGATTGCACAATGAAATGAAAGCGTAATAAATCATACAATAAGCAACAAACATAAATAATAAATCCGACAGGACCACAATGAAATGAAAGCGTAACGTTCTTCTAAGGAGGAGCCGTCCATGCAAACTTTCTTGGCAGAGCCTTTGCAAATTTCAGTTCGACACTCTTGTAAGCCTTCTCCACTTGATAACGGAATACACATAAACATTGTCCCATAACTTCTGAAAGAGCCCATAATACCATTCTCTCCATTCCTTCTTAAAATACAATGTCGTGAGGACAGCCGAAAGCCCGACGGCGTACCCTAAAGATAGGAATATGTAAAACCAATCAATCTCTCGCTTATTACCTTTTCGGCCTTGATTATCCATGTGTGTTGGGGAAGGGGCATTACTATCATTTTTGCAAGAAATCTTTAGTGGAGGGCCACAGAGATTGTTGCCGATGAAGCTTGATTCGTTTAAGCCCCCAATTTGGGTGCTTTCTGGGATTCTTCCAGTCAAATGGTTATATGACAAATTCAGGCTATTCAAAAATGACATGGTTGTGATGCTACCTGGAATCTCACCCGATAATGAGTTCATTGAGAAATCAAGGGATTCGAGTTGCTTCATGTTTCCAATGTTATGTGGGATGGATCCTGTTAAATTATTTCTCGAGAGGTTCAGTGTTCTTAGTTCCACCAGACTTGTTACCTCTCTTGGGATTTCACCAGACAAAGTGTTGTTAGAAAGGTCAATACTTGTAACCAAAGAAAGAGTAGTACCGTAGGTGAGTTCTCTTCCCTTTGTTGCAATTGATGCACTCTCTGGAAATGTACCATTGACATCAAAAAGATCTGTTAAAATTCTTTTTGTGGTAATTGCAGTAAGGTTGTTGAGGCAGGTAGGTATTCTCCCAGAAAGTCTGTTATGAGAGAGATTCAAGATTTGAAGAGACGTTAGCTGGCATATGGATGTGCTAATTTCTCCACTGAAATTATTTGAGCGCAAAATGAGAATTGCCAACTGATAAAATATCGTGTTAATCCATTTGGGTATGTCCCCACCAAGATTGTTATAAGAGAAGTCGATCTTCACTAGCCTCATGCAATTTTGCAGTGAAGAAGGTACGAGGCCAGAGAAACTGTTTCCGTATAGATTCAAGGACTCTAAACTTGATAGAAAGCCCATGGAATGTGGTATTCTTCCGGATAATTGATTGTTGCCTAAGTTCAACGCTCTCAATGATTGCCATTTCACGAAACAATCAGGTAACTCACCAGACAGGTTGTTATCCCCGAGATTAAGATTTTGCACTCCATTATTGGTTGATGTGTTGCAGAGAAATTCTGAAATATCTCCCGAGAATGAGTTACTGGAGAGATCAAGTTCCAATAATGAAGTTGTCATTATTTGAGGCAGTTGACCACTAAAGCTGTTGGAACTCAAGTAGAAAAACTGGAAAAAATCATAATCATTCATGGATAAAATCTTTCCTTGGAGTTGGTTATGCGAAAGGTTGAGAAAATTCAAACTCCATAGCCAGCTGGGAATGTTTCCATAAATTCCAGTACAGGACAAATCCAGACTAGAGATACTCTCTTTCTGAGTCTTGAGCCATAATGGAATTCGAGAGCCTGATCCCAAGTCCCAAGACCTTAGGTAAAGCCCGTTGAGTTTGAATGGTGGAATCCAATTGGGGTTGACTTTCAAAGTCAAGTGGTTTCCAGAGGCATCCAAGTAATTTAAATTTGAGAGATTGGAAAAATGGGTTTCAGTCACAATCCCTTCCAACATGTTATTTCCTATATAAAGCTCTGTCAGGTTCGCAAGTTTCCCAATACTCTCTGGTAAGTTCCCTGTAAATTTGTTACTATCCAAGTATAACATTTCAAGGGAAAGCAAGTTCCCTATTTCGTTTGGAATTACACCGGACAATGAGTTTTCACTAAGATAAAGGGATCGAAGACTCCTAAATTCTCCAAATTGATGAGGCAGATGACCTGAGATTTGATTGTTTGACAAATCTAAAGATATCAAAGACTCTAAGAAACAATTTGACATGTTTCCAAAGGAATCCCATATCTCTCCTCTCAAATTATTACCAAATAAACTCAACGTCTGAATATTGCACAAGTTTGTAATTTCTCTTGGTATTTTTCCAGAAAGTTCATTTCCACTTAAATCGAGGTATTGGAGGTTGCTGAGTTGAAAAATCCACAATGGGATGATGTCATTAGACAAGGAATTAAAGTAGAGATCAAGAGTGGCTAAATTAGAATGGCTGATATTATTAACATCATTCAGAGGATCCATAGAATTAAGATTACATTGACTACAATGCAGCTCAACTAAAGAAGGAAGTTTGCTGATAACCTGTTGTACCCAGTTGGTTGCTTTGCTGAGGTTCACACCATTCATGTTGAGGTGCTCCAGTTGAGAAAGTCCCCACAACCATTCAACACTACTGACTTCTAACTGCGGCACTACTGTGATGTTGACAGCCAAACTTAAAACGTGCAAATTTGAAAGATTACCAATACTATGGGGAATGTTTCCATAAAATCCAGCTAGTGATAGATCCAAGTACTCGAGGCTTGTGAATGATCCAATGAAGGAAGGGATCTTTTCACGAAAGTTGTTAAAGCTCAAGTCAAGATATTTCAAATGCTTTAAGTTGAGCAAAGAAGAGTTTACTTTGCCACCTAAATGGTTACCTTGAAGATCAAGCTGAAGAACATGGCCAGTTACGTTGCTGCACACAACACCTTCCCAAGTGCAACAATCGACTTTGGAATCCCAAGAAGACAATAACTTTGAGGGGTCGTGCAGAGATTGCTTGAAGGTTAGAAGTGATTGCTTTTCGATTTCAGGGCAAGAGATTGAATGGAGTGGTCTGAAAGACAAGAAAAGGACTGAAAACATAGATGCAAGAAGAAGAGAGAATTTTGATTCATTCATCCTCATTACTTTTAGAATTTGTAGTGATGGTGGTATGACTAGGAAGAGTTGGATCTTTGGTGTCCATGCAATCTCCATATATATACAAGGAATGAGATGAACTTATTCTTGCCCATCTTATGGTTCAGTTATTTCCAATTCAAAGAAATATTATTGGAATTACTTTCCTAAATTTTCTATTATATGCGTCAGGAGTAAAAATAAGATTTATACATGCACATTAGATTTATGCACTTGCATTGCATGTATTAGTTCCGCTGCAAACTGTCAAATTGTGTGAAAACGGGCAAAAACTGACTTATCTCTTCATCAGATAGTGAAAGGAAGAAAAATAAAAAGATAAAATGTTATGCTATAATAAGACGACTTTGACTTGAAAAATAAATATATATATATATATATATATATATAGAAGACGACCTTGACTTACCGAGAACCACTAATCTTATGTATGCATTGGACACATTGGTCATGCTATTGTTTTTTCAGCACACACGTTTCGACAATTATCAGCATTTTGGAGGAAATATATGGTCGATTGTTTTCCAGACTATGATGCACAATAACGACAATTAGAAAGTAGAAGAAAATTCATTACATAAAAGTTTGATGAGAGGCCAACCAGCCTTCTGGTTATTATTCTTCTTCTTTTTAAATGTTTATTGATGATATTTTTATTGTGAATATTTATATATCTGCTACCAATAGGATTACATAATTATTTTGATTGAAAACTGAAGGAGAAAATGCGAGATCAAAAGGGTTGTCCATCATATAACTTTCATATTAAAACCTACTAAAAAATTGTGTTCCACATGATTTCGTGTTACAAATTTAACCTTAAATATTACAAAACTGGTCATTTAACTTTTTTTTGTTGCAATTTTGGTCCCAGACCGTTAAACGTTGACAGGACTGTAAGAAATCAATATGAAATGTGAAAATTACAACATTGATCCCACATTATACAATGAATTGCAAATTTGGTCCTAACTTATGTACAGTTGGTCCTAATTTATTTATTTATTTTTTTTTTGTTTGAACGTATAGTCTTTAAATATTATGAACAAATTTTGGCTAAAATGTAATTTTGGTCCTACTAGGTCATGAATGTAGTAATTTAGGTTCTACTGGAATGACATATAGTAATTTATGTCTTGTAATTTAATATTTTGGTACAATTTCAGTCACTTAAGTATTGAAATTGCAATAAAATCTATCACTATATAATAAAGTATCTATTTACTAAATATAGTAGTAAAAATCTGAATTAGTATATTTTCAGCTTTCTAATTATGGTAAATACAAAATTCACACACAATTTGATGTTTCTTTTTTTTTT